ATTATAAATATCAACTATGAATTTTGCAAAACTAGTAGTGATCTGAAATAATTTTTATTGTGCAGCCTTTTTGAATTATCGTTCTAAAAACAAAACGGCTCGTGGTTGAAGACTCCTCCTACAACAGAAGGGTAAAAATGCACCATTTCCATTCCATACATTCACTAAAAAACAACAGCTTATTTTTTAAAAAAAGAATTCATCAGGATGAATCAATTTGGCACAAGCTTGATTCAAAAATCCAAAGAAGAAATAATTTAAAACCTCAGCCTCTGGCAGCAGGGCCAGTTTTTCCCCCTCCTTAAATGACTTTTGCTATCCTGAACCAAATATCGAATTAAATCTTATGACCCGAATTCAAGCTTCAAGAATCAAAAATATTACTGCTGAAGGGATATTGCGTAGGATGGAGTGCCTCTTTCTGTCAAAGAAATATCAAGAGTTTGTATTATGAGCAGTGGAAATGACACAGCATCAAATTTTATCTGTGTTCTAACTGAATTTTCGACAAATATATAAACATAGGTAATCATTACAAATTGTATTTAAAAAGAAAAAAACGTAAAGAGCATTTTAAAATTAAATTAAAATATTTGCTTAACAATTTCACAATATTTGAAATGCATTTACAAATAATGCTCTATACTTAATTTTTGCCCTCTCGCCAATATTTTAATAGCAAAATATACAAAAGCTGTAAATTTGGAGAAAATGTTTAAGTCACTTTATAATTGAAGTTCTCACAATTAATTATTGATTTGTATTTTCTGCCTATTGAGTGTGAAATAAACTAGAAAACCGATAATATGTAATGAAGTCTTATTCAAAAATAGATTCATCAAAAATTATCGTTTCAGTTGTTTTCATGGGTTGCAATTTCTTAATTTATTTCCAAAACATTCAAGTGCTTTTCTCCTCCTCCCAAATCTTTAAAATATTAAATGTTTTGTTTCAGCTAAAAAAAAGAATGGATTGGTAAAAGAGATAGATCATCATATAGAGAAAGTTGAAACTTTCTTGCAAGAGCTGCTAGAACCTTTCCCCCCTTCTTTAGCTTTTATCTAAAATTGTTACAAAAAATATTTTCAGTTAATTGGGAGAGGAAAATAGGAGCTAGAAGAATGAATATCTAGTAAATAAGGGGCGAAACCCCTTTTAAATCTCCTGCATATATTTAAGAATTTTTCACTTCGGAAGCGATGACAAAAATAAATTGTTTTTCAAAGTTCAGTTCATTGACATAAAATTATAGAATTTCAGAAACCGAGGATCATATTCAGATTTCGTGCAGCAATGTTCATTCATAACAACTGGGGCATAATTCTATTTAAGAATCAGCAGGAGGCAGAAATATTCACTTTCTTTGATTTAATGAACATTTTGTTATAGCATAAAATTGAATGGGAAGATAAAAATGACATTTAATAATTTTGACTTTGGAACTTGGGGGAGGCCAAAAGTGATCCTGAACCAATTGTATAACTCCTAAACAAAATTAATTTATCAGAATGTCGAAAATGGATTCTCTATAACTATTTTTATGCCTTTAACATTTAATATCAACCTTTTTTCTTTTTTGGTTCTAAGATCATTTTAAAATAATGCTCTCGTTTTTCTTAAATTAATACAAAATAAGAAGAGCAAGTGACAATTAATCTTTCTTAAGAATGAACATTTAAACCTTACCAATTTACAAAAGGTAAACTAAGAGCATACACAAAGTTTGATAACAAGCAAAATCACTTTCTTCAGACTAAAAAATACATTGTATACCAATGATCATGCACATATCATCCACGAATAACATTAAGGCATGCTTATGATGAAAGCGAACATTTAAAACTTTCTACGACATCTTACTCTAAGATTTTAATTGGTTTATTGCAATTTCCATGCTCAAATAAGCCAATCTGACAGATAAATGTAATAAAAAGCAATTAGAAACATCAAATCAACGTTTTTTTTCCTTCTTTTTAGTAGAACATAATTTTCAGCAGATTTCTTTCCACATTTAGAGTAACCTCAGACTATAAATTCCTAAGTTCCGAATACACCACCAGAACATTTGACATGATAAACAATTGGCAGTATTTCTCTCTAAAAACACGTCTTCCCAATAGGGTCAGGTAGAAAGAAGTTACAGGGTATCTGCTACATTTTAGATTTTCAAACTCGACTTTCCAGGTCTAGTTTCAAGAAATTTTCAACGAAGTTACTATTTTCTCCGAGAAAAACATAACAATAAATTTAAAAAAGCATTATAACATTAATTGTAATGATAGGTATAACCAAAACTGTAATATTTCATATTTATAGATTTGAAGAAGAAAAAAAAAGAGTTGAAGCAATGAAATAGATGAAAAAAATACAAAAGCAAATATTTTTTTTTTCTTCTGTAGAATTATATTCTGAAGATACTTTTCTTGTTCATCAGAAAGGAAAGAAATACTCCTGATTTTTCTGTCCTCATTTCAGAATAAAAAAAAATTGCCAATGACTGGCTTGCTACAGCTAGAATTTTAAATTGACAAAAAAAAAAATTCTGAAATCTAGAAATTTTTTATTTTTTGAAAGGATACCATAATTTTTAAAGAACATGATAAAAACATCTTATATTTTAATTAAATATGACTGTGAGTGGGGTGTTCATTACAAATTCAGATATACGGAACACCATGAAATGGGGGGGGGGGGTTTTTTAAATTCCATTTTAAAAATTAGATTTTTCAGTGACCTAAATCCATGACTTTCCTAAAAAGTAGTTAAAATCATGACAAATTTTGTTCAATACCGAAATTCATGACTTTCCAGGTGAGCAGATATCCTGTATTTATCTTTCAAGTGAAAACTGTTAACTCCTTCTCTTTAAAAAAATAAATAAATAAAGATTTATCCGATTATGTTCAACTTCAAATAGCATCTAACATCACCTTTCAACAAAGTAGTATATATTTTATGTCTTTGTCTTCACTTGAAAGATTTGCTATGACACAGTTTCTTTCACTACTATTATTTATAATTTAGTTTATAATACCTTAATAATTAAACACAACTAATTAACATATTTATAATAATTTCCTTAATACTTTTAACTTGTTAACTTAATTTTCTGATTTTGACATACAATTAGGGCCTTTTTTTTTGCTCCATATTTGCTGTAGTTTTTGTAAATCCCTATAAAACGGAAGTACCCATTCAAGTTTCTAAGGATTAAAATTCAGCTAAAAATTTAAAAAGAAATTTAATGCCTTAAAATAAGTTACGAATAACGAAAAATAGTACATGTAATAATAATACATGCAAGTGTGTTTTAGCAAACAATCATCTTCGTACCATAAAGGAATTTTTTACACCACTTTACTCAATTTAGATATAATATAAAATGATTCTGTCCATACAGATTTTATGTACAAGATTGATATTACGGTTCTTATAAAAGTATCCATTTATACAACATAATATATACATAAATTTTCACTTTTTTATTTTCCCTTGTTTTAATGATATTTAAAACTAAGAAATAGATTAGAAATTTTGAGTTTTATCAGTTGTAAAACTTGCTACAAAAATCTGAAAACTGCAACTTTTATTATAACCATGTTTTAAAACTTTAAGGCAGCCCATAAAAAAATCTCTAGACATGTGCGTTATTGGGATTAAATTCACCAAAATACAAACAATTTATAAGCATACATGATAAACTTCTTACACAGGCATTGCACTTTTTGAATTTTAAAATATTAAGGGATGAAATTTTAATTTTTAAAGTAATTCTTAAAGATCAAGGCATTTTGGGGAAAAATTTAAATAAAAGAAATATAGTAAAAATTGCTATACTTTAAAAATAGCTATCAAAACAGTCCGAGTTTAACTGTACCCTCGAGTATATTCATGCAGCTCTTTCACATTCCTGCTGTTTTAGCAATTATCATACAGCTTTACTTTTGGGTGAGATAATTTTCACAAATATTATTTTCGAGTCAGAAAATATTGCTAGCCGATTATCTGAGTTTCAGATTAGGACCTAATTTAGAAATTGAAAATGGTTGCTTTCTTTTGTCTTTGTACAAAAGCAAGATGTAAATTTGATCCCAAATTATGATCTATCATTTAAACTTGGTTTCAAAACTGCATTTAATTTTAAAAGGCCATAATTAAAAATTTTCCTTTCACTTCTTGGTTTTTGTAAAAAAAAATTTCATATTAAATCATCTTTAACTACAAGATACATAAAATATAAATATTTTTAAATTTAAATGTTGAGGGAACACTATGCTTAAAAATTTTAAATTCCTAAAAATTGGTTTTCAAAACAATATTAAATCATGTAATGCTTACATAAAAATAAATCACATACATTTATGTTAATTTAGTTTTAATATCATAAGCTTTACAGTATATTTACTTTATATTATATTTTCCACTAAGATTTTTATGGGGTACCTTAATGTTTATGCATACTTATAAAATTTTTTTTACATATTACACTAAAATTATAGATAGTAAAAATATGCATATTTTTTTTTTATAATTCATGAGTGGGCTCAATATAGAGATGAGGTATTAATACAGAAATATTTTTTTTCCACATCAGCAGCCACAATTGTGATTTTTATCAAATTTTAAATCTGTAAAAGCATAAACGTTTCTTTTCAAAATCTTTTTTTCATTTTCAACAGTAAATACAAACAGAGATTTATAAAAATATGCATGTATGTAACCCTTGTAGTTTTATAGACAGTGTTACAATATTAAAAAACTCAGTGCAAATGTTATTCAAAAAGTTGTATGCATAAAATAAGTGCTTTTCTTTTATATTCCTATAATTTAAAAAATTTGTTAATTATTTCTAAATTGTGCAATTGAAAATTTTTGAAGACTTGTGTTGGTGTGTGCTGGTATTAAAGAACGATCATACAATGCATTCATTCTCTCAAAAAACTGATATAAAAGATGGTCCCTTAGTTGGTGCATTAGTGTAAGTTGCAGACTCTTTTATTTTATTAACAGCTCTATTTAATATCAACTTTCAAAATTATACTTGAAAACTACATTGAATATCATTAATTGTGTTTTTTTTTAAAAAAGAATTTCATGAGTGAATGAAAGAAGTACAGAATAATGCACTATTTGATGAAAGAAGATATTTAGTGCAAGTTTATACACCAATTTTGTTTTAACAGCCTGTATAATCCAATTTTTTAATTTCATTATGATTTTCCACAATCAAAATGAATTAAATTTATCTATTTATGCATAAAAAAACATCAAAACAATTTTAAAAATATATATGTTGGCTGAGTAATACTATCAGGTTGAGTAAAAAGTTTTCCGCCAAAGCGAAATACCTCCGTGCTAGCAGCAGCCATTGCCGTGGTGGTTAACTTTTTTTGAAACGGGCTTTTGTATTTTAAAGCAGAAAGTTGGAACTACAATTTGTTTGTCAAAACTTTATCATCTTGTGCACCAAAAATTTCTTAAAATGGAGCTATCACGTTAACAGATCAGACCCATTATGTACTATGAGTTCTGAAATAAACTAAGTGTAACTGAATGCCACAAGAAAATGTGTGAAAGTTTAGGTTTCAATACTGTTTCTCATGAGGATACAGTAAAAGTTTGGTTTCGAAAGTTTAATACTGGGAATTTCAACATTGAAGATGAACCACGTTCTGGCCGCCCTATTGAGATTGATTGTGACCAATTAAAGCAAATTATTGATCAAGACAGAAATGTTTCAACACGAACCATTGCGTTAGAGCTTGACGTTTGCCAAAAAACAATAGTAAATGCCCTCAAACGCATAAATCTAACATTTAAGTTTAACCGCTGGGTGCCTCACGAATTGACTGCTGAAGACAAGAGCAAAAGAAAAGCGGCCTGTTTGGTTCTGCTCAGAGATCAAAGGAAAGAGAACATTCTGGACAGAATTGTGACCTGTGATGAAAAATGGGTATACTACAACAATACTAGCCGTAGAAAAGGGTGGTCAGCATCCGGGGAATCCGCAAGTTCGGTTGCAAGACGAACGCTAACTAACAAGAAGGTCCTTCTCCGTATCTGGTGGGATTGTCGTGGAATTATCTACAAGCAGTACCTTAAAAGCGGGTAGGCTATCAACAGTACAATATACAGCAATATGCTAATCAAAATTAGCGATGCGATTCGCGAAAAACGAGAAAACGAGCTCAGAAGGAAGGTGATTCTCTTTCATCAAGATAACGCTTGGCCACATGTTAGTGCAATGACCGGCATGACGCTCCACACATTAGAGGGGGATTTAATGCAACATCCACCATACAGCACAGACATGGCACCTTCGGATTACTATCTGTTTTCAAATCTGCAGCTGCATCTTGATGGCACAATCTTGCGTTCAAATGACGAGGTCATAAATGAGGTCGATTGCTTTCTCTACTCGCGCACCCCCCAGTTCTTCGCAGAAGGGAATGAAAAGTTGCCAAAACGTTGGCAGACTATTGTTGATTTGAATGGAGATAAGTATTCTCATTAGCTTTGCTGATTTTGTATGTGTTTGTCATTTTTCAGGCTTTTTTTTTTTTGGCGGAAAACTTTTTACTCAACCCGATACAATTGGCACTAGAGTAGAATCTGGGGGCCCTTGGTTAGGTGATGATTTTTGTTCAGTTTTGCTGAAATCCGATTTTTGGTTACTATGATATACTTTGCGGTCTTTGCTCCCAATGTCGTCACCTTCGGGTTACCGCAGCTTTTGTTTACCTTTATGTGATTTGGTTCTTAGTTTATTTGCAACTTGCAAGCGGCCCAGGATCGTAAACTATTACCCTACAACTAAAATCAGTATACTTTAAGTTTTAATTAGATTTGATAGGTTACTAAGTTGATAATCTCAGAAAATAATAATTGTGATGTTAATACCACAATATTAAAATAAATATTAGAGTTTGATGAAATATACATAATTTTATGCATTTCTCATTAAATACAATCTTAAAAGTTGTTTTCAACAAGAGTTGCAACTTCCACAAGCAAGAAATGTTTTTAAAAATAAGTTGTTTTGTAGAATATGTAGGTATAAAAGAAATCTTATACAAATGAAATATAGTATATATATATAATAAGTAGAAAATGTTATGCGTTAGAAGAAAATAATTTGTAAATCTCTTTCAATAAAAGAAAAGTCATAAATGTATTTCCTTAAATGAAAGAAAAGATCACCGGTTGGTCTACTATAGGTCAATCCAGATAGTAGTGATGATTCATATAAAGAAAAAACATTT